AGAGTGATCAATGGGAAATTCAGCACTTGCTGTAATTAACTATAATATATAGGTATGGGAACAGGCAAGCTTGTCAAAAAGGAAAATAAGCTGGAAATATTTTTCAAAAATATAAGCAAATAACTGTAATCCTTTTAGCAATTGCAAAGAAATTGTCTTGTATAGTCAAAGTCACAGAGCTGGGTAGGGAAGAGTTTTGAGTGACCAGAGGGGCATGTAGGACTGCCAGTTCAACACACGAGTACATTGTAGATTTTTGTTAACAATTTCACACACATATCTGATGTATTTTGATCAGATTCTGCCTCCACCGCCCCCCCCACGCCATTAGTCTCTTGCCCTCTATCCCTACCTTCAGCAGAAGCAGACAAGCTCCCGAGAATCAGGAGATAGTGAGAACCTGAAGTAAAGGTTGGAGGAGAACAGACCATGGACAGCTTGCTGCTCTCCAGGTAATTACAGCCAATGCACAAGCAACAGGGCTGTGGCTATGCAGGCCTGGGGCTACCAACACTAAGAAAATGGAGCCCTACTGGCTTGTTTGTTTGTTTGTTTGTTTGTTGTTACTCTTATTTTGTTTGGGCTTGGTTTGTTTTTCCATTCTTTTTCTTTTCCATACAGGAGATATAAGCCAGGAAAGTGCTCTACCACAGAGCTACTTCCCCAACCTTCTTTGTACTTTTTTACATTGAGACAGGGTCTCACTAAGTTGTTTGGGCTGACCTTGAACTTGTGATCCTTTTAACCTCAGCTTCCCAAGTAGCTAAGATTATAAGTCTATACTCTATAGTCTTACCTCCCACACAACTCTCCAGCCCCTAGGAGCTGAGGGCTGAACCCAGGACCCTGTGCTTGCTACCCAAGTACCATATCGCTATGCTAAATCCCCAAGCCCTTGGGTCTTAAGGAAAAACTTCCCAGGGGGTGGGGAGAACACCAAACATGTTTCAAATTTATTAGGTAAAATCTGTCTCAAATGAAGTGCAGAGCAGATCAACCCCAATACAAGCAACAAGTGAACCACAGGCTTTTGATTTAATCTTTAGACTAGAAATGAATAAGCCAGTCTCTTTCCCCAAGCAACCCACAAACCACCACAGATGAGCTTTTTCAAAAGAAGTTAGTTTAATGTATGATAGGGAAAGAAAACTAGAGCTGATGAATCACTTATCTTTGTTAAAGCAAGAATCCTGGGCACAGATCCTATGCTGGCTACTCTTCTATGGACTTGACACAAGCTAGAGTCATCAGAGTAGAGGAAGCCTCAACTGAGAAAATACCTCCAGTAGATCAGATATAAGTAAGCTTATGGAGCATTTTCTTAACTAGTGATTGATGTAGGTAGGTTCAGCCCATTGTGGGTGGAGCCACCCTTGCACAGATGGCCCTGGGTTCTAAAAGAAAGTAGGCTGAGCAGGGAAGCCATGGAGAGCAAGCCAGTAAGCAGCACCCTCCATGACCTCTGCATCAACTACTGCCTCCAGGTTCCCTCCCTGTTGGAACTCTCATCCTAACTTTCTTCAATGATGACTGGCAATATGGAAGTGTAAGCCAAATACACTCTTTCTTCCCCAACGTGCCTTTTTGGTCATGGTGTTTCATCGCAGCAACAGAAACTCTACAACAGATAGTTCAACTGAAGTTTGGAAGGAAATTGAGAGACCAGTGCCTGGTTTGCAAAGGAACATTTCCTGGCTAAGTACCTCATGGTGAGTACGGGAGCAAAACTTATCCTGACTAAAGTAACTTCAGATAGTGGTTCTCAACCTTCTTAATACTATGGCCCTTTAATACAGTTCCTCAGGTTATGGCGACCCCTAACCATAAAATTATTTTGTTGCTGCTTCATAACTGTAATTTGGCTACTCGTTTGAATCATAATGTAAATATCTGATAAGCAGGATATATGTGACCTCGGTGGGGGTCACGACCCACAGCTTGAGAACCATTGCCTTAAGAGCTAGAACAAAGCTGTTGGGGATGTGCTCGCCAGTAGATCACACGCTTCAGGTACAAGGCCCTTGGTTCAATACTCAGCAATATGAACAAAAATAAACACAAGTAGTGGAGGGGGGGGAGATCCTGTAGACTTGTATCAGCATATAGGAATGAGGCAGAAGGAAAAGACGGAAGAAAAGCAGGCAATAACTTGTAGTTCCCAGCAGGCCCATCTCTCTCATCATCTCCATTTTCTCTGGAAACTCACTCAAACACGGTTGTGTGGCCTTTTGCCATCTCTTTTTAGAGCTTGCTTCCCTCACTTTAGACTGCAATTCATTCATGAGGATGAGCACAGCCCCACCCATAGGGGTGAGAAGAAATTCAAGGCCAGGCAGCTTGAGAAGAGCAGCAATGTATCTACTCCCCTTAAAAACACCCAGGAAGTTTGACTTGAGAAGACTTGAGTCGGGAAGTGAGCTCAACTTGTTTCTCCAATGGGCAGATTGAGTCAGTGCCCTGGACTTACATACACACGTGTATATGCATCCTGATGCAACCTGAACACAGGAGTAATCCACTGACCTCTTCATCAGAAGTCGCAGGACTGTATCAAAGCATTATCAAAAAGGAGAACACCTTAAGGAACTCCATTAAAACACAAGTGAGATGCACAGCCTCATGAGCAAGTGGGTGGCGACTTCCCAGATGTGATCATGGCGAGAGAGACTCCGGAGTGAGAGCGCTCAGGCTGATTGATTTTAAAGGTAAAATTAAGCTGTAGAAGTGACAGTCTGAAAACTTACTGTGGAGCTTCAAAACTTGACATGAGCACTTCCCAAATCTTCACTCTATCTGCTAGGTTTTTAAACAGGAATGAGAAGTGGCTTTTACTCAGCATTGCATCTGACCTTGGTGTTATTTAGCCAAATGTCCTACATAGTTGCATCATTCAGGAAAAAAAAAATGAAATTAAATTGAATTACCAGTCTAATATTTTTATAAATAATTTTTCTGCTCAAATTAACTGAAATTATATTTTCACTGGGAACCTTATATAATGTACAAATCTAAAAGGTTTATATATGTGCTCCTAGAACACAGACAAACCATTCCTTATAGTGCTTAATTCCTACATGTGCCTATAATATATGCAAATCATGTCTGATAGTGCTTCATGCTCTGTATGCTCGTATACTTAGCAAATAGTTACCTATAGTTTTTGTCTATACGGTCTTTAGATAGGTCAGATTTCAATACAATGAGTTTAAAAACTATAGCTACGATGGTCCTTAGTATTCTCACGGTGCCTCTCTTGATCAAGATAATAGACAGAAACACAAATCAGTTTCACCACAAATCTTGGGGAACATTAGGAGACTTAGTCAAATGTGTCAACTGGGAGAGCTAGCAAGGAAGCAGGCCAACAAAGGAGAACAGAGAATTTACTTCATGGGACAGGTTAACAGATTCTCTCTGCTGTGTGCCTGCAGAAGGTAATGAATGTGTGGACTTTTCTGCTGCTGAGTCATGTTAGCATGACTTCCCAGAGGAAACTTGATGTCAACACCAAGTGTAAGGTGATCCAATTACATCAGAGTCCCGTTTATCTCCACATACCCGGGTGGTTCCTGAGAAGAGTTGGTTTCCATAATCAAATTATTACCAAAGGCCAACTTGAGATAGTCAGATAGCGCTCACATTTCTACCATTTTATTTGCTCATAAAATATTCCTCTATCATAAACTTGTGAAATCTACCCTGTCAACTAAATTTCACTGGGATCACAAACTAAGTCATCACTGACTTCTGGGAATCCAGCCTGAATAAAAACAGCAAAGTCAGAACATCTATTATAAAGAGCCTTTTCTACAGGCATACAGGAAGTCAGTCAGTGTTTATTTAAAAAGAAAAAAAAGAAGCCCACATTTATTCTTGCATAGTGATTTACCTATTAAGAGAGAGGAATATTTTGACAACAGATGACCTTCTCTCAGAAAGTGATACCTTGTAGCACATGTCTAACTTACATTCCTTATGCTGCCCATCTGTGGAAGCCAATGCTCAGATTCAAGGCCATCTCAGCATGTCAGCTGTGTGGGGTAAGGGAGGATGCTGCTTTCCTCTTTCAGACTTCTATGTAGAGGTCTAATGAGCTACCTCCCTGACAGTTGCTGCGGAAACCTGAGATGCAACCAGTTTCCACTCTCCCTCTGAACATCCGATTGACTGTGTCCTGGTCTATGTTCCTGTGGTGATTCTGAGCCTCCTGACCTGCAGTTTGTACTTTTAAGCCCAGCTCTAGACAGTCAACAACCACGGCTTTATGTCAGTGCATTTCTCATGTCTGACCAAAGCAGGTTGCCTAACCATACGGTCACAGGAAAAACACCAGGGGAAGCTGCCTGGAGCCTCTTGATTTTCTGCCCAAGTGTCTGAGGTACACTACAGGATCTTCCTCAAAGTATCAGTCTCTGCCTCAGTACTAAGGTAGGATCCCAGTTATTACACCTACCCTGTATGATTGAAAGGGATTTATAAAATAACCTATAAATTTCCTATGAATATTAATTCATTCCTTTTCTCCAGAAACCATTCTTTTTGCTGCTTATGATACCACTGGAGTTCAAAATATTTGGGAACACATAGTTCTTTTTCTTTTGTATTGTATCCCCAAATTTAATAAATCAGTAGTATTTGATTGTTCATTCATTTAGGAGCTCTGACATTCAACCACAATACATTTCTACCACTATCATCCTGAAGAAATTTATCATCTCACACTTTTATCAGTATAACTTATGTTCACACATGTACATATATAGATGCATATATGTGTATATATACATATATGTGTGTACATATGTATATATTATATACCCACATGTATATAAATGTAGACATACAATGCAAATATGCTATATACATAGTCACATATACACATAGAAAATGTATACATATTTTAACACATACATGAAATATCAAAAGATGAAAACACCTCCATTTTACACAAACTCTTTCAAGGTCCACAGGTCCATGGACACAAAGAACTGAAGACTTACCGGTTGGCCTCCCCACCATCTGTGATTAAACTTCTCTCTCCCTCGAAGATGGAAGGTAGCATCAAAGACAGGATCATACATTGAATTGCCAACAATTCCATGGGATTCTGGATATAAACCCTTTGTGTAAGAGCAATTTTATTGTTAAAATAGCATTGTAATAATCTACATATAATAGTTTTATCATCAATTTTCTTATCATAGAAGGTTTTATAACAATATTGAATTAACCAAATCAAGTAGGATATGCATAGCCTTTGTTTTGAGTTCATTTTAGCACACATGAGTTGTAACTAATTTTAAATCATTTTAGAAATTTAAGATGGTGGCAAGAAATCTAATATTTTTCTTTTTGACTGCTGAAATGTAACAAAATGGACTTCATTATTACTTCGTTCAAAATGTATACAAATCTCCAAAGAAGATTCCATTCATCATTCTATGTCTTCTTCAAATCAATAACTTAAATAATCATAAGAATAGAAAATTATGTTTGAAACAAGAAACTAAGGTAGTGTTTGGAATGTTTGAAAATAAAAACATAGAAGCCCTGAAACTGACATTCTTATTTGAAAGTTCAGAAGACAGAGGATAGACTTCTCTGAAGTTGACAGTTTAATGGGAAGCTAGGCTTGAATGATGCTTGAAAAAGCTATAATTTTAATTTTGCAATTCAGTTCAGTCATTCACAAACTTTGAGTGGCTCTCACTGTGAACAACACTGGCAAATGGAGGAAAATGGATTTTCTTTGAATTCTGAGCCACATGCTCTTAAATTCCCCTTCAGGCCATCCAGCTATATCAGCTAGTAAAAAGTCTTTACCTCCCAGCCTAAATGTCTGAGTTTCATCCCAGAACTCTATGGAGAAAGGATAAAACTGACTCCTCAAAGTTGTTCCCTGACTTACACGTGCACATGTGTGCACACATGATCCAAACAAATAGGTTTGACCAACACAAGTCAAACTTTATATACTTAAGTGACTTTTTCTTTTGTTTCCATCTTTTGCTTTTGTTTTCTTTAAGAGAGAAAGAATATAAAGTTGAGGGAGTAGGGAATTGTCTGGGAAGAGTCAGGATACAAGAAAGGATACAAGAAAAATAAGCTGTGTGAAATCCCCAAATAATTATTAAAATAATATTATAGTTAAAGAAAGTTCTATATTTAAAGAATTAACCCCTCCTTCAAGCCATTACAGGGTTAAATTAGACCTTTGGATATACATTACTCAAAAACAAATACTTACAGTGGCCAGTGTATACAGGTTAGGAAAGGTTTTTGTGGGGTACACAGGCCTCATGTAAGGAGCATGGGTGCCACAGGACCCTGGAAGTAGAAAATGAGTTATCGTCAGTTATCAGGAGAAGAAAACCATCCAGAACCACTTCATATATAAAGTTCATTTTCTCAACTATGATAAACATACTACTTTCTTTTATTTCCAATAATGAAATGAAATTTATTAAGGAGAGAAGAAAGAGGAGGAGGAAGAAAAGGAAGAGGAAGGAGGAGGAGGAAGAGAAAGGGAAGAAAGAGACAAAAGAAGGAATGAAAGAAGGCAGAGGGAAGAAAGGGACGGACGGACGGACAGACAGACAGACAGACAGACAGTGCCTCTATGCTCTGGAAGCCTAGCAGAGCAATGGCTACCTTGGATGAGAACATGGAGTGAGGAAATGACTTACGTAGCTTCTCAATGTTGGGCATAACCTTGCTGCCTTTCTTCATGTACGACGCACGGAACCCATCCACAGAGAAGATGATTAAAGGAGGGCGGGCAAACCTTAAATAGTAACAGGGTGAGTCTCTTGAGAAACTATTGCCATAGGCATTCCACAGTATCTAGCCACACTCAGTGACTAGGACCAATCAGTACTAGAAAGACACAAGAAGGGAGGACAAGCTTAGGCTCCCAACCACATAGCATTTGAGGCAACCGAGTTCAGAATTAACTGGGCAAAGTCACCATGGCCAAGAGAAAGTAGTTGACTCTGCTGTTGTTTCCTATCTTACAAGCAAGGGTCTTCAGGAAAGAAAGAAAGAAAGAAAGAAAGAAAGAAAGAAAGAAAGAAAGAAAGAAAGAAAGAAAGAAAGAAAGAAAGAAAGCAACATCTGCCAAAAGTATGTATTTTATCCAACTTTGGATTTGGAAAGTTCTTGCCTACTTTTCAAAACTCAGCTCAACGTTTACTTTCTATGATGTTAGTTGCCCATGCTTCTGAATTCCTTCATGATGTTGAGACATATCTACCTTATTTGTATTCATATATACACTATTGTATATCTGGTTTTTTAGTTATCTTTTAATGGCTTCCACCCAGGAACTAGTTATATAGACTAGGCAGCCTTCAAATTCATAATTCTCCTGCTTCAGCCTCAGTGAGATTATAGGCATGTGCCACCATGTCCAATTTTAATAAATACTTACCAGATGTATTAGAAATTAATGAATACTTGAATGAGGTATGATTAACTACAGTAACATTCTTCCCACTAAACCTAAGCACCATAAAAGCATTCCTTCAAATCTATTGTAAAGCTGATACCAAGGTGATTTAAATTATTAAGAATTTTTAAAAGGACTCATTGATCCAGGTCAAAAATGGAACTTTATCATTCTAAGGGTGTAGTTGGTCAGTCATAAGAGAATAGTGAACTATGTACAGAGTTCTTTCTAATAACTTGAAGCTAAGTGAGAAACTCTTAGTTTGTCATATTATAAGTAAAACATATTTTAAAGGGGTCCTACAAAAACAGTCAGAAATTGTTTCATCCCATTCCATAATCCAAAGTGCTGAGATGTCTACTTCTTCTTCTTCTTAGGCCTAATTAAGATTCTTAAGAGGAGAGAAAAATAAAGATATCTAAACACCTAAGTTCTGCATCCCAGGCTGCAATACATGCATACACAAATATTTACAGACTAAATACTTTATGAAAACATATTTGTTGAGAATATATTTTCTCAGTTTCCTGGAAGGCATAAGTGTCCAATTTCAGACACACTTGAGCTGTTAGGTATCTCTCAGTGTGGCTGTAATGACCCTGTAAGTCACCCCTTTAGCTGAGAAGTAGGTTTTTGCCAAATCTGTTGAGAGCTACCTTCTTGGATAACAACTTTAAAAATTCTAGCATATCCTTCTTCCTTTCCCCTCCCTCACACACTAACGAAGGCAAGAACAGAACTGCTGTGGGGGAGGTGCAGTGGTAGAGCAGAGAATGGTGGCAGGAAATGCATCCTCCAGAGATCAGCAGATGCACTTTGGTGGACCACAGCAGACACTGAGACTCCAGCATGCACAGTAGTGATAGGAAAAAAACTGAAGGAAAAAAGAACATCAAAGCTTCAAGATAGGACTGGCAGCATGGCTCAGCAACTGACTTGCTTGCCTGCAAGCCTGTTGATTGGAGTTGGATCCCTGGTAGCCACGCAAAGGCTGAAAGAGAGCATCAACTCCACAAAGTTGTCCTCTGACATCCACACACATGCTATAGCGTGAGTGGTGGCATACACACTCTAAACACACACACACACACAAACACACAAAAATACAAATATCACATAATCAATCAAGTTTTATTTTATTTTTTTAAAACCCTCAACCCTCAAGATAGATTGGCTGGCAATGTATTTATAAGAACTCACACAAGATTATGTGGAGACGGGAATCTCCATCTTAAGAAGTTTGTAGTCATTTACCCTTTGTGATGGCTTATCAAGGGATATGGACTACTTCATAATATCCATGAGACAAAATACACTTACCCTGCAGGGCATTCAGGAACTCTGATTTCTTCACAGTCATCATCTACCCAGTGTGATTCTCCTACAAGAAAAAAAAATGGGGACATTTGTTGTGAGTCTATTTATAGCTGCCACCCAGAGAGTAGAAGGGCAACGCCAGAATCTGTGTCCTCTTTGGTACTTGTTTATGGGATACCATCTAAAAAGAAATTCTGAAATAAAGTCTAGTGTCTGCTCTGGCTTTTAAAGTACACCCATACATGGTGGGAAAGCTAAGATTTAATAACCTCAAATGGTGTTTATTTCAGCTTTCAGCTCCTAAACGGTTTGTAGATTTAAAAAAAAAAATCTGTGGCGTCAGTGGACAAGATTTCATGTTTGTTTCCTTCCAAAAATAAACTGTTTGGTCATTAGATGGAACATTCTCTCCCTTGCCGCTAAAGATCTCAAAGCCATAGAAAGCTTAACACAGCTTCCCTTCTGGTGGAGAAAAGGCTTATGTTGATATAATAATACCCAAGGATAACCAGATAAAATATTACAAAAGAGACTTTTCTGATGAGCATGTGTATAGTCTTGAATTTACAAATCAAAACCCAAGCTGTCTTTCCCTATTACCTTGCATCAAGATCTGAGAACATAAGATCTTCGTGTGTGGAGGCCACGGGTCTATGGCAAGTGTCTTTCTTTGTCACTTATCTGTGGTAATTTGAATAGGTTGGGCCCCAATATACTCATGTTTTTGAATGCTTAGCCCATAGGGAGTCGAGCTATTGGGAAGTTCTGTCTTGTTGGAGAAAGGGTGTCACTGTGGGGGCCGGATTTGAAGTCTTTTATGCTCAAGCTATGTCCAGTGTGGCATACAATCTCCTCCTGGCTGTCTGCAGATCAATATGTAGAGAAAATCTTGACTTCTAGAGCACCATGTCTGCCTCCATGCTGCCATGCTTCCCGACATGATGATAATGGGCTAAATGTCTGAAACTGTAAGCTGGCCCCAATTAAACGTTTTTCTTTACAAGAATCACGTTGGTCGTGGTGTCTCTTTATAGCAATAAAACCCTAACTAAGACACTATCCATCTAATTCTCTGAGGCAAGGTCTTTCGATGAACCTGAAGTTTGCGGGTTGGCTAGACTCCAATGAGACCCCAGGATCTGACTGTCTTCATCTATCACCTTACCTAGCTTCTTACATGGATTCTAGGGGACCTGAATTCAGGTCCTCATATTTTCACTGAACCATTATTTCCTCAACCCAATGTTGATATTAAATTAGGGTTCTGTTGTGGTTTATACCCAGAAATCCAGAAATGACAGTATCCATCTCTAATATGGCAGTGCTTGAAGTGGCAGAATCTTTAAGAGGCAGAGCCTAGTGGAAAGAAACAGACTTGTGGGAGCACCATTCTCACAAGGAATTGACGCACATCTCTTGGGACTTCTTTGGAGCCCACAAGAAGGAAACATCTTCCTTCCTTGTGATAGAATCTGCCTTTTTACAGTGTAGGCCAATAGTCATCTTCAGAGGTCAAACAGAAAAGGCCTTCCAACAGGGGACTTTTAGCTTCTACACTGTGAGTGATCTTATCCATAAAAAGGCCCAGCCTCTGATATTTTGACATAGCAACATAAAAGATATGGAGATGCTATTCTTTTTTTTAAGGGGGGGGTGTATACCAATATACTTTATTTAATACTACAAACAAATAATATGAATTGAGATTGCAAAATATGGAATGCTTCTTGAATCTGCGTGTCATCCTTGTGCAGGGGCCATTCTAATCTTCTTTGTATGGTTCCAATTTTAGTATACGTGCTGCCGAAGCGAGCACGAAGATGCTATTCTTTTGGAAAAAATTATCCATAAGAATTTACCTTAAGTTTCTCTAAGACAGACAAAAATCACATATTGAACAGACATAAAAATTGTGACCAATATCCCACAGACACTTTTTCCATATAAAGAACACTGGAGGTCTTCCACAGTCCAGAACCATTTAGCTACTGGATGACCGAGCAGGCTAGGAAGTAAACTAAATTAGCTTTACCAAGCACGAGTAACCTAGGGCAGCCACGTGAGGCTCACTAAAGTATTGAAATCAGAAATCAAACCACCAAAAATGGCCTTAACCTGTCACCATTCTGTGACGAATGATATTCAGGGCTTTTCCTTGTAGGCTTTGTGCTTTCCTGTTATATTTACTGCATGAAGATTAAAAGAAAAGGAGAAATAAATTCTTGATGAACGCTACATTTCAAAATAAAAGTATAACTCTTAAGAGTAGAGGAAACTTCCCAAGGCAACAGCAAGAAAGGAAGGTTTCCAGATTCAATTATACCTTACAAAATCAACTTCAAAATCTTTTCTTTCTTGCTTTCCTTTAAAAATATTTATTTATTTTTAATTTCATGTGCATCAATGTTTTGCCTGCATGTGTCTTTGTGAGGATGTTGGAACTAGAGCTCCAGAGAACTGGAGTTACAAAGAGTTGTGAGCTGCCATGTGGATGCTGGGAATTGAACCCAGGTCCTCTCGAAGAACAGCCAGTGCTCTTAACCACTGAGCTATCTCTCTACAGTGGCCCCCCTCCCTTTATTTCTTAACTAGGAATTTAATCCAAGGTCTTACACATATTATCTCCCTGGTCCTTACCTGAAGTCATTTAACAGAAATGATTTATAAACATCCTTTGCCAGGAAAAAGACTAAATTGAGGAAATAAGAGATGACGTAACCTACAGATTAAAAGCCATGGTTTTTTGCTTGAATACCCCTAAGTGGCTGGTGCGATTCCTGAAACATTTTCATATCAGGAGCCGTATCTTTTATATTTTCTGGAGGCCACAGACCACTAATATCATAAAATTATTGTATTCTACCATCAACACACATACACACATACACACATACATACTGTAAGAGCAAAGCTTTGGGTATAATGCAATCTGTCGGTGCTTTAGTGTCTTCACTAGCAAGCACACCGAGTTCTGGGCTGCTGACGGGGTCTTGGCAAACAACTTTCATGCACTGGGAACAAAAGTCACGCTCCAGCACTTCAAATGACTCTGTGATTTACTCTTAGCCACAGAGTCTCTTTTCCTGCTGCTATGATAAAATAGTCTGAAAATAACATCTCCAAAGAGAAAGGGTTTATTTCCGCTTATGGATCAAGGCCCAGTCTGCCATGGAAGGGAAAGACGGCAGCAGGGGCTTGGAGCACCCTGCCTTACCTTGTTCACAATTAGAAAGCACAGAGCCAAATACGACGTGCTAGTACTCAGCTCCACTGTATACAGTTCAGGAGCCCCTGCCCAGCGAATGTATCAGCCGGCAGTGAAGATGGGTCTTCCTGGTTAAGTGTTCCTACTACCCTGTCTAGATCTCAAGGAACATTGTGGAAGAAGGTGTGGAAAAAACGTAAGAATATACAAGATAGGGAGAAGAGCTGTAAAATGGTGTCCTGTGAGCATGGCATAGACAGTGAAGTTATAGGCCCCATGCGGCTGCAGTTGCCTGCAATGGGTCTGCACAAGACTGGGTTGGCAACAGCTAAGCATCAGCCTGAGAGGGAACCAGACTGACCTATTGGCTGCTGCTGAATTCTAGAGGAGGGGTAGGTAAACCTGTCACAGAGTTGGACATGGCTTTATTCAGCAGGACTCAAAACAAAACAAATTGATGTAAATGTGGAAAATGTCCTTCCAGGGAGGGGAGAATAAGAGTAGAAAGGAGGTGAAAATGGGTAGAAGACAGCCGAAAACAGCACTATATACGATGTGTGAGACTATCAACAAATTCTACACACATCATTTTAAGAATATGTGTCTTGGTTAGAAGCATATACTATTCTTGCAGAGGACCAGGGTTCAGTTACTAGAACCTACCTGGTAACTTACAACCATCCATAACTCCTATTCGAGAGGATCTGACACCCTCTGCTGACCACCATGGTAACAAGGCATGCATGTGCCTCACATACATGGTTTCAAACAAACACCTTATGATGGTTCATATATGCTCGGCCCAGGGAGTGGCACTACTAGAAGGTGTGGCCCTGTTGGAGTATGTGTGGGCTTCAAGACTCTTATCCCAGCTCCCTGGAAGCCAGTATTCTGCTAGCAGCCTTCAGATGAAGATATAGAACTCTCAGCTCCTTCTGCACCATGCCTGCCTGGACGCTGCCATGCTCCCATTTTGATGATAATGGACTAAACCTCTGAACCTGTAAGCCAGCCCCAATTAAATGTTGTCCTTTATAAGAGTTGCACTGGTCATGGTGTCTGTTCACAGCAATAAAACTCTAACTAAGACACACCTCAAATACATAAAATGAAATTTAAAAATCTAAACAATGTTTTTTAAAATATGGATCTTTCCACATCAGTTAATGCAAGTGTGGAATCAAATTGATTCCCCCTTACAAGCATTTAAAGAGACCTATCTCCCAGGTAACTCTAAGCCATGTCTGGGTAGCCATTACACAATGCAAGGTAAGACTCACCTATGAAAGCTTGCATTGTCAATCCCAACCCCAATTCCCTGACCTTCACACATGGTTTTCTTATAGAATATTTTCTCAATAAACTTCATGAACCAAATTCCAGGCTCTGGTGCTAAGAAACCTGATATTAACCAAAACAGAAAGTTTAGAAACCTCTTAGTTATTTATCTAATTTTGAAATGTTGATTTGCTTTCTGTTGCTTTAAATCAATGAAATTCAGAAGACAACTAAGAAAGACTATTTTAAAAATTAAAAATTATAATTCAGAGGCTGGAGGAATGACTCAATGGTTAAAACACTTGCTGCTCTTTCAGAGGACTCAAGTTTACTTCCAGCACCCATAGGTGGCTTATAACCATCCATGAATCTCGTTCCAGACAATCTGATGCTCTTCCAACAGCCACAGGCACTGTCTACACATGATGCATATATATTCATGCAGGTGAAATACTCACAAACATAAAAGAAGTAAATCAAAAAAACTACAATTCTTTTGACCTCTAAATTTCTATACCCAAGGTGCTATAGCCAGAGAATTCAGGATGCTTGGCGCATGCCCAGTATTTAACATCTCAAAGTGGTCTAAAAGCATGTACCTTTGCAGACCACTTGGTAGTTGGTACAGCAGTCTCCACGGGACAAGCAATCTTCTGAGCAGTGACAGGCATTTTCCTCATTTCGTACTTCCCCACATCTGTCTTTGGTGCACTCCCAGCCTCGAGCTGAAATCAACACAAGGAGACATTCTCATTGCCACGCACAAACCAAATGAAAGAGGCCGCACAATTGCTTACAAGGGCTTCCAACAAAAAGAGCCAGAAGCCCACATCATTGAATCTGTTTGCAAAACTTGAGCCAGCCAGAGGCCAAGAAGGCATTTGGAGAACTTACAGATAGGATGAATTTCTAATTCTTCAAAGCAGAGGGGAAATTCACAGCACAACTGAGTTCTCATACAAAAGCAAATTCCAGAAAATCAAACAAAGGATCCCCACCCTTCCAGCATGCCCCGAGTACCACAAAGAGAAAGAATATAGAGAAGTATTAATCCTCTCAAAAATCCTGACTAACCAAAATGGCTGTCTACATAAGGCCTCCTAAGGAGGTAAAATAGAGATAAAAAAGGAAATATCACTCCCGACTGAGTGATAGGTCAGGGTTCAGTTCTTCAAAGAAACATTCAAAACAGGAACCTTTTCACTTTTATCAGAGGGCTAAGGTCATATTTTTAATTAAATTTTTAAAAACAGTACAAATCTTAAGGAAAAAAAGTCTAAAAAAACATTATCAGTCACTATTCTATTTCATCTCAGACATAAGACTGTGAGATTAAACACCATATTCTAGCTAATCAATGAATATTTATAAGATGTCTTTAGTACGGTGGTGGAAATGAACTATGATTCTTGAAATTGAGGACTGTGGTGTAAAGAGCTTCCATGGATTATCCATGTATTTAGTTTTTCCAATTCCCATAATCAGTCTGTCTCATTGTTTACCATTCTCTGCGTTCTAAGGGTACAGTGAGGTGTCAAAGACAAGAGCTCCATCTTCCTGGAGCTCATATCTAAGACAGAAAGACAGACCACATGCATGCAACCAACAGGCACATCATTCAGCCACGGGAAGGGAAGCAGAGGAAGGGATGGAGCAACAGAAGGCTACCGGCACATTGGTAAAGCATCAAGGAGATCATCTCTGAACTGAAATACACTCAGACATTTCAAAACTTCATCCTCTAAGACATGTACTCAGCAGAAGCAAGGACATTCTTCTAAAACAAGGCTGTTCCTTCATGATATTCTGCCAAGAGGAGCCCTTGCTAGGTGATGGAATAGAAAGAGGTGGAACAGTCAGTGAATTACGTTCCAGTTACCTCATGGAATGCTACTCTGCTATTTGAAAGGATAGTGTTTAAAAAGATACTGCCTCCCACATGATTGTAAATACACACATGCTATCCAGACACCCTAAACAAAAAGAGAGAGTTTATACTGAAATCTTAAGGTTGCTTCCTGTAGTGGCATAGGAGAACCTTAAGAACATTTCTTTTCTCCCTTCGACTTTTTGTTATTTGACATTTGATTCTTCCGCATTCAAATACATGTTGGCTTTAGACATCAGAGAATAATGTGCTTTACAGAATGTTGTTATAGTCTGTATTAAACCAGGAAGAATGGCATGAGCTAGATTCAAAGAGAACTAAGCTAGAATCACAGACGTATTAAGTTTTGCAAAAAGTTTTCAGAGCAGAATGTTGGCCTAACTTACTAGGGACAAGATGTTCAAGGTAAGACAGAAACATAAAATGTTTTAAAATCCTCAGTGCATGTCAGACACAGATTGCAGGTTTGCACTTATGTCTTAGGGTCAAAAATCTCTGAGGGATGTCTATTCCACTCATACACTCAATGTACAAGAGCCTCAGCTCCAAGCTTGCAGAACCACAGCTGAAGAACCTGGTAAAAGCTCCAAAGAAATCCATAACGAAAATGTGTCTGTATGCTTAGAAAATGCGGTATGCAAAAAAGTAATCCAATGAAGCCCTTATGCTTTGCAGGCTGTGGGGAAAATAAGTCCCAGTTAGTAAGGGAGTTTATGTTGATTTTCAAATAAATCAGGAACTAAGGTTTAAGTAAAGGCAATAATGTCTCATTAAAAAGATCAGACAAATAGCAATGGTAAATTGGGCTTTCCAAAATATCACCCAATCACAGAACTAATAACTTGTCAAGGGAGCTAAGAAATCAGTTTCTGGTGTTCAAAGCAGGGATTCTTGCCATCCTTCTTAGGTAGATTGCGTGAGGTTTTGGCCAGGGACAGAGACATAGTAATGAATTTGCAAGATACTCCAAAAAGTCCTACCTAAAACTGTTTGGCTTTGCAAAACAGAGTAAGCATGATAACAAAACCCTAAAGCTTACTTTTCCCTTGACTTGTGAGCATTCTTTCAATACAGGATAAAAAATATCAGGAGATTTTTGAAGATTTCAGAGCCACCGAGAGCATAGATTGATTTCATTTATAATATTTTCCGTTTGCACAAAGAATTGGTTTTAAACCTAGTACTTTCAGTCTACGATACCTGCAGATGGAATGTGCCTTCTCTGACTGGGCCAAGAATGGTTGAGCCACGCTATTCGTACTAAGTACGTTCTTCGTACAACCATCTGTCATTCAAGAAATGGACTAAAACCCTCTATGTGAATAGGCCAAAACAGAGGTACATAACAGCTAGGTGTCACTGAGCCTTTTGCTAAAGGTGCAAGGCATCCAGAAGTCACATACCTGTTTTCAAACAGAGCTCATCAAAATCATGGCAGCAGCTGCTGTAGCTCTTACATAGGTTGTCACACCGACAGTCAGGAGGTCCAACCTCTTGAAGCTCAAAGCATCGACCTTTGCAGGATCCAGATGTGTTGGTCCACGGAGAGTCAGACAACACTGCCATTCAAATAAGAGGCAAAACACAGACTCTTAGGGACTAGCCATATCACCAACACAAGAGTGGCACTTAGAAGCAATTGGAGTGGAAATGCACTCAAGCTCTGGATGAGAAGCCTGGCTTCAATGCCTGCTCCTGGGTACCTCAGGCATGTTGTCCAACTTACATAAACCACAATTTCCTTATCTGTAAAATGGGAGACTCAAAACCAATTCCAGATTGAAGTGAGAACAGAATGAAATAACCTGTGTGAAATGTATGTCAGCAAAGCAAGCATATACAGAATAACAAACGTTGGCTCTACTGGTGATTACGATTACTAGTACTATACACATATAATGGTGAATGCCCCTATTGAAGTAAGATTTCATTTCCTATTTTAAACTCCATACTGCTAGCTGAGCTTGGGTATAGTATGCCTAAAAGCAAGCATCAGGAAAGACAAGAGGACTCAAGGCCAGCCTGGGCTGCATAGCAAGACTTTGAATGAAAAGCAGTCACCACCACCAAACGTATAAGGAAATGTGAATTTAAGTGTTCAAAACCAGTCTGAACACGTGATCAGAACAGAGCACCTGCCCAATCTCTTCTAACCATAACATCCACATCTATCTGGTATTACTGGAACACAACTGCCACTTGGCAAAAACAGACCCCGTATCACTGTTTGCCTGTGACATAATCTAAAAATCTCAAAAGCCAACCAAAGTTTAATAAATGAAAGAATGTGATATGATGAAAATTGGTCCAATTTATGATATGTGGGCACTATATGATTGAGACTTAACTCAATCATAGAAGGTCTAATTTTAAAAAAATTAAGATATGAATTTAATAATACATATGCAGAACCTACCATAAAGAATATAGGAGCTGAGGTTGACTCTTTGCCTCCTCAAAAAAAAAAAAGAAAAGAAAAGATAAAAATAGGTGCTTAAGAGATGGTTCAATGATTAAAAGTACATACTGCTCTTACAGAGGACTTAAGTTTGGTTTGGAGAAACCATATTTGGTAACTCATAAGTCAGTTATAACTCCAACCCCAGGAGATTTGACTCCCTTTCTGGCCTCTACGAGCACTGCATTCACATGCATGTGAGTGCACACACACACACACACACACACACACACTGCATTCACATGCACACACACAATTAAAAATGTAATCATCTCAATGAAGAATATACTGAAGCTTTAGGAAAAAGACAGTTCTAGAAAAATCTAGATAAGTCATTGGGTACCCAACTTTAAAGAGAAAAATAATCAATACCAGATCCTAAGTCTAAATATTCAATATACTCTCAGAGAAAAATACAAATAAAATAATACCAGATCCTAAATCTAAATATTCAATATACTCTCAGAGAAAAATGCAAATAATTCTACAAAGATGGGAGGACATAAAATCTGAGATATAAACATACGAAAATAAAAAGGTGTTCAAAGGAAAAAGTAATTTGGTGATAGGCTAGAAAAGTGTGTTCTGGAGGTAAACAATTGAGGTTGGTATTGGGAAATAAGTTCATCAATTTTGTGGATGAGGCCCAGAAGCAAAACCAAATACATAAAAGTTTGATCTATTTAAAAACTGCACTTCAAAAACATCCCCTAGTTTGAAATTTGCAACATTTTATAAACTCAGATAATTGTCTGGCCTTTCAGTTCATTGTCTTCTATTCTCCATGTATATAGTTGGATGAAATATATATCACAATATATATACATATATATGGATATATATATATATACACACACACACACACATATATATATACACACATATATATATATATGTCTTAGCACATATGTTACAAATATAACATACTTGTAAATTCTACATTTAGAAAATTACTATTTTTGCAATGCATATATAATCATGCTTGAAATCAAGAATTAGCAAGGTGCCCGAGAACAGGTGTTAAACGACAGAATTAGACACACCCCTGCCATTTACTTGAACATGTAGTTCATCCCTTAGTCAACTGTCCCAGTAATCAGAGTAATCAGAGTCACCCGATCCTAGCCTTTGTGGCATCAAATCAGTTGACACTACGCAAACAGATTCACTAGACCGTGAGAGGTAAAATGCTTTCTCACAGTTGATTCAGGGATCTTGAAATAAAGACAAACCACATCAATTCAGTTTTCAAAAATTATGTCTGTTTGCAATGCAGTGTCTTACCTCTGCTCCACAAACCACATTTCTCTGTTGATTTTGGCCAACCTATCAACTGTACACGCTGAGCCATATGAAACCATGGCGGACAAGAAGAAAAAAATAGAGAAAAAAAATCTCATAGCAAAAGGGGAAAATAATGAAAAATTTGTAATTGAATAAATGTTCTTTGTCTAAAGGTAGTGCTTAGATATAATCATTTGAACCATGTCTAATAAATTCAAGCAGTGACCACTCCCATTAAGCTGAGTCTGTAAACATGCCCAGCAATTCTAATCGCTGAGACAATAATCAGAAGCCTTTGCTCATCCTGTCGTCTTCTTTGTGGGGTCCCAGCCAGTATTTGAAACGTTCTTGTTGTTTCTGACCCATGTTTGTGGCCCTTACCAAAATCTCTTCTCTAAAGTTGGCTCAGATATTTTGGTCATTGTGATAAGCCCTTAGAAACAATGATCATGGGAGTGGTCAAAGAATTTTGTTTATTGCCTTGCTTTTTTTTTTTTTTTGACTATTTGTGTTATATTGTCTTGCTTGTTCCCTGACTATTTGCATCTATTGTATTGCTAGCTCCTCAACCTAGAAGTGACCTTAATATTTGCATGTAATTAAAATGATATAAAAGCAAAAAGGAGTAGGGGGGATGGAATAGGAGGTTCTAGGGAAGGGAAATGGAGAAAGGGGATGACATCTGAAATGTAAATAAATAAAATATGCAATAAAATAAATTCTTCTCTAGATCTTTCTTTACCTCTAAAACACCTGAATGCATCCTAAGCTGGGTTGTGATCATTCTTTGCCTGTCTTTCACAAGGTGACTGTAAATACTTTCTTACAATAACAGTCATTCTCTTAATGTGTCCCCTTGCTATCTTTGGAAAGCATTGAATCCCACTCAACAGTTTGCCTTATCAGGTGTGGTCCTTCTCGCCAAGATTTCCACTGAAGGCAACTATCAGCGCTGCATCTGTACTGTAGAGATACATCTCAGTAAAGATATACAAGGTCGGACTATCGGCAGCTCCAGTGAGGAGTGAGCTCCTGTGTGAACCAGGAGAAACATGGGCCAAAATTCATTTTCAGATGACAGTGGCAAGTTAAGCTGAAAATGACAGAAATAAAAATGAAAAGATAGTCTAAGCCATATAAGAGCCTTTCTAATCTAATAACCCCAAGAAACTTAAGCTATTTATCCCTTTAAAAACAAACAAACAAACAAAAAAGAGTGCCAGACACTCCTTTAGTCCCAGTACTTGGGAGGCAGAGGCAGGCGAATCTCTGAGTTCAAGGCCAGCCTGGTCTATAGAGCATTTCCAGGTCAACCAGAGCTACTTAGTGAAACCCTATCTCAAAACAGCAAAATCAGTAAATTAAAAAAAAAAAAAGAGCATGCTTGAATGAGAATTGTCTTGGCCTTTCAGGTTCTATTCTATCCCATTTCCCTACAGTCAGAACAAGCATAGTCCTGGTCATTCTGCAAGTCACCCTCTCTGTATATTAGCTTTTTAAAAAATTCCTTGCCCAGGATCTGTGTCCTTCTTCCTACCTCCAGCCTAAGGATAGACTGTTTTGTTTTGATTTTTGTTGTTGTTGTCTTGTTTTCTTTGTGGGGAGTTTTCCTTATTATCATCATATCCATGTGATGACATGCATGTATGCAGATGCATGTGCTGTGGCACACTTGTGGAAGTCAGATAAAACTTCATCAAGTTGGTTCTCTCCGTGCACCTTTATGTGGGTTCCATGAACTCTGGTCATTTGGGCTTAAGTGGAAAACACCTTCCCCTCTGAGGCATCTCTCTAGCCCTAGACCTTTTGAAGACTTGTCTTTTTAATTAGAGCTGATCCAACAACTAGTATGGAAAGGGCCTTCCGTGACATTGAGATTTCCAGTGTAGACCCTCCTTTATTTGACCACAGCCAGAACAGCATAAGCACTTCAGTTCTGTAACCCATTGAGAGGATGAAAATGACATGGCAGCGAATTGTTGCCACCTAATAGTTTCCACTGCTGCTAAGGCAGCCATAAAAATCACAGAATAAGGAAGATGGAAAAGCAAGCCAACAAAAAGCATCCGCACGTTCCGAGTAAAACAAGAGAGCATGTGGTGGAGGCACTTGCAGGCACTCCTATGACGTTCAAATTATAAGTTGTATCTTTATGGGCTGGAGAGATGGCTCAGAGGTTGAGAATACTGGCTACTCTTCCAGGGGTCCTGAGTTCAATTCCCAGCAACCACATAGTGGCTCACAACCATCTGTAATGGAATCTGGTGCCCTCTTCTGGCCTTCAGGGACACATGCAAGCAAAATACTATATACATAATAAGTACATTAACTAATTAATTTTAAAAAGCTACATTTTCACGTGATGCTATTTCCAGTTCTATATAAATCAATTCTGAGGGACTTTGGATTTTAAAATGGATATGCACATCAATGCACAGAGCTCCATCTCACCAAAGTATAGTTTCATGGTTTAACCAAGTGAAAATGTAAATTACTATCTTTTTCTTCAAATCTGTAATTCAGATAGGAATGGGTCAGATTATTTCAAATTGTTAAGTAAAACCCCTTTTCTAGGATATTTACTTTGCTGTGCACACACACACACACACAGAGGGGGGGGGCTGTAAGCCTCTGGTACTGTTTGTTCTACAGACACATAAAAACCACAGACTACTGACAATTTAATTTGGAAGAGCCTAGCTGATGACAAGGGCTGTCATCAAAGCCAACTCTATCCTACACTCTCAATCATTCTTTCCTCCTCATCTTGTCAAGTGGAAAGTTCAAATCTGGAAGATGACCAGTAAGGATGGTGAT